GGCAGTGGAAATAGAGGCGACCGGGCTACACCAGACACCGAGCAGGAGAATGATGTGCACATACAGCAGGCTGCAAACAGTGCGCTTCGCAAAGTGCACACAAGGTGGAAAGTGAGCACAGCTTCTTGAGTCATATTTAATTTTTATAGGAAATAGAACGGTCCGGTCAAACCTGGCCGTACCATTTCATTACAAAACTTGATTAAACATGCAGGTTTCAATCATAATATTTAAACTCTGCATTTCTGCAGTTTGCGTGCACCACATTGCATTTTGGTCCAACCTGAACTTTTTTTTAACCGTAATTATACAAGCACAGACTAACGGAATAATACTATACATCTGGATGCATTTACCAGACGGGAGCAGGAATCAATAAGTGTTATTTAAAGAAAGCAAAGCAAGTTTGAGTTACAGCCAAAGTAGGGAGCCCAGGAGTGGAAGGGGAAGTGAGGGGGAGTCTATTTTTAGAACAATTCCTTAAACACTTCAAGCTTCCCCCCAAATATTTTCCACTAGCTCTCAAAAGTAAAATTATATGCTTGACTGATTGTACACCTCACCTACAAAGTAGCAGATACTCGGAAGAAGACGTGAATGAAGTTTTATGGGGAGACTTGTCTCACGTGCCTGAGCCTCTCCTCTGTCATTCAACCTGGGATCAACCCTTCATACAAATGTCCCTGTATTCTCACACGGTCTTCCTATGAGGGTCCCTGTGGACTTCCATAGGAAAACAATGCAGGACTTTCATACTGTAGACGCAAGTCCCAACACTTCCTCCTCCTCAGTCTGAGCCTTTAGTCTGGGTTGCGGAGGTGACCCCGTGCTCTTCTCAGGGGTCAAGAAGGTTTTAACCTATAGGTCTAGGAGAGGGTGGCTGTAGTGGAGGTGCAGACAGTGGCACCTGTGCACCAAGTACTGACTGGAACTGTAAAAATGTGCAGACAAACTCTCTCGGTCTGCCCCCAGACCCCCACCCCCTCCCCCACCTCATGTGTGTATTCTGGCATGTATTTTTTTCAAGAGTGGAAAATTAGATTCCGCGCCCAACCGCAAGAAAGCGATGGCCACAAAACTAGAACGCTGCTTTGGTAATGTACAGTATAATCCCAGTTATTGAAAGAAAAACAAATCTCTGCGTTCATTTCCCTTCAGTTCTTTTTTCAGAACACATTTTTACATATCAAGAAACTAGAGTCAGACATTTAATGTGTTGCTGACTGCTGTTTATTTCTGATTCATTTTGATGAAAATGCTGTCATAAACCATGTATTTGCATATCATGGATCTAAGATTTAATGTAGGCTAATTTTTCATCTAATTTTGAGTGACACAGCCAGGTCTATCTGTATCTTTTTTTTTAAATTTAATGCACTTTTAACAATTTATTGTGTGTAGTAAGAGTGACGTACACACTGATACGTTAATGAATATAAAGGTTGTGTGAAAAGACATAAGGAAAAATTCAATTTAAAAACAGAGTTTAACTGAAGTATTGAACCATCAGTACAAACACATGAAAGAAGAAAGTAAGACACAAAAGACAGCAAAAAGAAAGAAGCTACTAGGTGTTCTACGGTAGATGATAAATCTAGGGATAAGACATTTACTGACTTATGTGAAAGTATGGTTTGTACCCCAGTAGACTGATGTCAGTGCATAGGTTCTTCATTTAAATAATCCCTCTCTGTTTTTTTCTCCCTCCCTCCTCATGTCCCCGATGGAAAGCATTATGTCAGCGATCAACTGTGGAAAATGTTTTCAGATCTCTCACATACAGAAGCCGTCTCATCTAGGGGGCAGCGGTCTGCTTTTACCCAAGCGTACATTGGTGACGTGAGTAATTCACCTCTCATTTGTCTGCTACAGTATACTTAGAGTATGGGGACAGCTGTCTGCAGACCTCCTGCTGACCAGCTGGTTGGCTGGGAAGGTGTACTGGTGTGTATTTGTCAAGTGATCAAGAGACAACAAGCGTTTGTCCTGGTATTATTTGATAAAATTACATCTTAAATATGCTGCTGTTCTTTGAGCTAGTCAATAACAATCACACATCACACATCATTTATAAAATGATCCATGTCTCCTTTCTCTCTAAGAGATCGATAACAAACGGACATGAAAAATTAAGGACCATTTCTTTTAATGACACATGGAAAGACTGACTCAGAATTTAAAATAAAGAAAAAGGAGAGAGACAGAGAGACCGCTGAGCGCAGAAAAAGACTGAATAGTGAATATTAAATATATAGTAAAATTAGTTACCGTATGAATATTAAATATATAGTAAAATTAGTATTATCATTAATAATTATCATTATTAGTATTATCTAAAAATATTTTTTGGGAGAAATGACATCTGAACTCTAATCTCTAACACCCAAAAATTATTTCCAATCACTATATAAAAACTGGAGCTCTCAATTTGATTTTTTGTTTTGTTTTGTTGACAACTTACATTAAATATGTCATTAAAGGTCAATAGAGGGCAACAAATTCACTTAATTTACTTATACAAGTAGTTGTTGTTAAATGTGAAATTATTATTATATTTTGGTTTAGAGAGAAATGCTTTTAGATAAAAAAACATGTATTTTGCTATTTTCTTAATATAACCTCGCTAATTCATGTATTGCATTTCATGTAGATTTAATATCAAAGACAAATATGTATTTTTGTATTACTGTATTTCTATTTGCTTGAATTAAATGTGAAAAATAACGGGAGAAAATATATAGTTAATATTTATATGGTCAATATATAGTCAATATTTTATCAACATTATACTTTGTTTGCCAAGATCAGTCATTCAGACATTCAGTAGCACTGAGTTGCAGTTTGCTGTAGTATAAATACAATGGTCTGGTTACTGCCTTAAATAATTTTAAATTAAATAGAATAAAAATTTACAAGAAACAAACATAAATGAAATGAACAAACAAGTCAGCAATCAGCTACAGTAAATGACTATTTACTATTAATTAAGAATTATTTATAGGAAGATGGGCTACAGAATCTGATTGTATATAGCTACAAAAATGTGTAAAAACAACGTACTGCAGTGTTTTCCAAACTTTTTCTGCAGGACCCCCCTTTTGTACATAGGACTACCATTGACCCCCCCTCTTGGCCCTTAAGGTAATTACAAAGCTGTTGCTTCAGAAATCATCTGAACTTAACGTACAGTAATTCCTAAAAAATGTTATGCTCATCAGAAACGGGAAAAAAAAATTACAAATCTGTGAATTTTTTCCACTGTGGCACAAAAACAACAGCAACAACCATTATTCAAAATGTAATGAATTGGCTCTGCGTCCCCTCTGCAATAAATCAGTGTCCCCCAAGGGAGCACGCCCCCCACTTTGGGAACCACTGACAAACTATATAAAATCTTAAATGTGCTTATTAAGTTAAATTTAAAAAAAACTTGATGAATAGATTTATTCATTTGTATCTGTGGCTAATGACAATTACAATTATAATTAAAGCAGTTTGAACAGATCTGCTAGTGTTTCTAAGTCTTGATAACTGATGACGTTAGCATAAAGGCTACAGCATTTAAAGCCTGTTTTATTCACAGCTTAAAGAAAGGAACACAATGACCAGCAATAGCCATGATTTCATCACACCTCCCTCCTGCATTATTCCAGGCCGCCACAGAATTACTCACATTCCACGTGACACCGTGCCGCAGCTTATTTCCAAATAATTGATATCGGCGTGCCAACAGTTGATCCCGCCCTATCTCTGCTGAGATCACTGACTCTCACCATGTAAATGGTATCCGCTGCGTCTCACAGTGACTAAGGCCTAAATAAAAGTCCTTAAAGCTTTGACAAACGGCCTCTTATATATTTTTAATACAGGATGTGGCTACAGTGATATCTAATCTGTCCTTAGTAGCCTAGTTGTTTTGGTATGGATAAAGACAGGTGGGGGTATGACAAGTTTCTCCAGTTGGCAACACTCTCAAATGTCACCCTGCTGCACACTCGTATATATCGTCTGCACTCTGACTCTACCTCACTTCTCTGCTTCTTTGCCTCTTAGCTCTATCTGTGTGTGTGTGTTACTCTTGGTTATCTTTATGAGCAATATTCACTTTAATGAAGATATTCATCTGTTTACTCTGGTGCTAACTTCCCGACTCCAAGTGTCTGCTCTTTAAAATGTTCCCAGGAGCACTCTTAGGGTTAGTACCATCTGTCAGAGCTCCATATTCACCAGCCAGTTCTAATGAGCCCCCATGACTAAGTCGAGTCAGTCAATACAGGTCCCATGTACACAACAGAAATTTACTGCTGATGGTCAGGGGGTTCACACAGCTGTAAAGGTCATTATTTCATTCAATCTGAAATACGTTTGCTCTGAAGGAACAGCCAGACAGCACTGTTGAGATTCTGTCTGTTCATAAATACTGAACATCAAATAATCCAGACCTGAGTTCATTCTTATGTTTAAATTTAATGACCCAGGAGATCAGTCCTACCTCAGTCTGTGCTCAAGGAAAAAAACAAATGCAGGGTGTTTTCACACTCACAGCAGGAGAAAATCATGACTCTTTTTTTGTTTATTTTCTGTGTTTTCACATTTCCAGAAATATTTTAATAGTTCTTCTTTTATTTATCAGGCAATATGAAAATTGAACAGTAACAATGTTTTCATTACTTGTATAATTATATGTCAATAATTAAGTAGTATTATTATATTTAATCACAATAAAATAATGTAGACATTGATTTTAACTTGGTTTATTCAAGGTTACTAACTGTTAGACTTTTTGCAGTAAAAAGAGATCCAGCTAGACATTTATAACATGGAATTAGTTGGAATTGCACTGACTATTGCAGATAATTAAACCTTTTTATTTTGAATTCAGAGTCTGTAGCAATTGTATTGATTGACATATATTCTTTGTTTTTTCACGAATAGACACTAAAACATTGACCAAATGAAAACACAAATGTTCTTTAACTGTCTTTCTATATTTGTTAGATGAGTTCTCATGCAGTGAAGTTTATTCCCTTGTTGTTTTCCTGATACAGTCTCAGGGACAGACCGTGTGAGGATTATGGAGAGCACAATGATTTCTTTAATAAGCCTTAAACACATTAAGCGATATCCAAAGGAGTCAGGTTGTCATTGAAACACACAAAAGATTTCTGTTTCCTTCTCCTTATGAATAAAAGTTCAATTGATTATCAGACTACATCTACAGTTTATAATTCACTTTCAAGCAGGACTTTCCATAACAAGTAGGTGAGATTAGGCTTCATTTCAATAGTACTGTACTTTTAAAATGACTTTAGAGTTGAACAGAAATGCATAAATATGTGATGTGTATTAAAATACTTGGGATAAATGAAAGGAGCAAAAGTGAATTTAAAACATTCTGCATATACACAGTAGGTAAGTATGAATTACCAGTAATCAGTGATAAAAGATACATTTTCTATAGCTCTTAAAATGTTGCAAATAGAAATGTCTTACAATTATGAAAAAAATATAAATAAATACATAATTTAAATATTCCTGAAATGGCTAATACGAGTGCATTAAGTTGTTGTCATTACTGAGCAGTACTTTGTGGCTGTGTACAGTGTGTATCTGCTAGTGGTTACTTGGCAACTTTTAAACACTTATTTTCTTTAGCGCACGCACACACGTTCTCTGCTTAGACAGGAAAAAACAAAGCATTACGGGGTCCTGACAGTTCCTCCAATCCGGTCATCAAAGTGAAAAGGAGATTTCTGTCATGTGACGCTGCTGTTAAGCCTGTTACATAAGATGAGCGTCACCTGCAGCACACTACGTGGTCATTGCATTTGTTTTTGTGAATGTGACAGTCTAGCTGACGCTCATTAAAGTTGTAATAGATTAGTGATCATATCATTAGTGGTTGATGTCATGAGTGTCTATAGGCAAAGTGAGCAAAACACCTTAAAAAATAAGTTCAATTACTATCACTCTTTCTTACAGGAAGACCAGTACGGACTTCACATGCGCAGAACCAGTCCCCAAGGTAATGCTGTTACAAACACATATACAGACACCCATGTGCACATACACACACTCACCCCTCTCCCCTGTCCCCGGGATAAAATCTAACACCCCCAAAATAACCTGGTGAGTTATAAGAGTCAGAAGGGCACTGATCCAACGTTCCCCTTTAATACAAACAAAAGGCAATTACTCTGTTATCCCAAAGAGTTCATTTAAGATGCTAAAGGTGGTCTGAGCAACTTTGTAGTCGAATCACTGAATTAACAAACTCTAATTGTTGCACACTCTTTGTGAGACCTGTCTGAGTGTCCGGTCAGCTGTTACTGTCGTGGAGATTCTGAATGTGGAGTCTGTGGGGGAACCTTTTCACTAAGGTGTGTGTGAGCGACATGGTGTGCCGTGGGTGTAGACAGTGTGGGACACAGGGCTGTGGGGGTAAGAAAATACAATAACTTCCACAGGGCTTCCCTCACACTATGGTATTCACGCCACATGTCGTATGCCCACTGATGGGGAGTCAGGTTCCCTGTGCCCTGGTGCTTATGCCACACCAACGGCAGGTAGAGAAAAACTGTTGACCCTCCATCATTTTTGAGGATGTAATGTTATTGCAACAGATGCAGGCAGAACTGCTCACAGCATGTTTTAATGTCCCAAAGACATCTTCTTACCTGATGAGCCCAGAAAGTAGCGTTCCAGAGCTGAGCCGTAGCCGGAGGGATTGTCCTTTAGATCGCTGACAGCGAATGGCTGCATGGTGACATTTTGATCATTGAAGGGCCATGTTTGACCATGGACACTCGCTCCACCGTACCAGGACACATTGGTCATGGAGAAGCAGTCCTGATAATTTTTTCAGAAAAGGAACAACATAAGGAGGGAGAAAAACCTCAGAGATGACGAGGAGGAAAAAAAAATTCACAAACAAGATGTGTCACATCATACAGCAAAGAGAGGAAAATGGTTTCAATGTTGTACTGTGTTTGTCATCTTAAATGCTCAGGAGTAGACAGCTGGACTGGCCTATGTCCACCTCTTATCCTTTTAAGCGTTCTTGTCTCCAACTCTAACTGGCAAGGGAAAATCCTAGTTTTTAGCCTCTAAAGCAGGGATCACCAAACTTTCTCAAAATGAGAGCTAGATCAAGGATACAAGTAATTCTGTGAGCTACTTGTTTGATACACATTTCCTGAATAAAGTAATGGTAGTAATTAAAAAAATAATGCTGCGGCATACAGTAGAAGACACAGCTGACCATCGTAATTGTAGCCACTTGAAGATAATTGCAAGTGTCCAAAAAGAACAGCAATTTAATTATTTAGCATTTAATTTTTTTTTTTTACCCTCTTGTTGACTAGATATTTAGTTTTAATATTTACAACATACTCCTCTGGCGCCTTAGTCCATAAGGACTACCAGGTGGTGGTGGTAGGTTGGTGACCCCTGCTCTAAAGGATGATTGTTGTTATGGTAAAACACTGCAGGTATCCACACCACAGCCCATATGGATGTTGTGTTCCAGCAATCTGCTAATAATGAAGCAGCCTCATGGATGAGAGGTGCAGCATCTTCTGGAAACCTTAACCAGTGCAGTGGCCTACTTCTACACGGTTCTCTCAAACCCACATCTGTAACACTGATGAATGGTTGGACAGTTTGAATTCATATATACCTGGAGTACTACTAATATAATAAGTATGGTTTCATCTGGTCTTGTGCCTCATTGTTCTGTCATTGTGCTGTAATGCAGTGTGGTATGTGATGATACATGAGACTAGCTCAGAAAGCAACAAACGCAGAAGGCATTAAATGACTTTTCTCTGAGACTTTTTTTAAACGAGGGAAACCTTGTCCTGGGGCATGGGGACAAATGTGCAAAAACAACTTCTTCCATGGCCCTTTCATAGTTTACAAAAGAAGTACCAGGGGACGTCACCTGACAGGCTTTGTGTGCAGGATTTTGGAAAATAAAAAATGGAGGCCACTTAACTTTGGAAAGACTGTGTTTGAGCATTTGCTGCGCCACATGACAGGGAGTTACGGTGAGGAATGTTCCAGCAGGGACAGATTAACCTCCCAAACATCCAAATAGTTAAATGCCTTTGATAATTTGTCTGGGCGGAAAAGTACTGCAAATACAGTGCGTGTAAAAAAGGAGCAAATCCGTGACGCAGATATGACATGAAAACATATTCCACACAGGGCAGATAAAGAGGGGTGTAAAAGAAAAAAGAACAAGCCTGAAGGAATTACGCGCTCTTTAATTGTCTCCAATTGTCACGTTTCTACAAAGGTGGAAAATATGTATTTTAAGACCGACATTTTACATATAGTTATTGTGTTTTTGTTGATGAACAAAACCGCATTAACTTCTTTGGCGCATTTTAATGCCTCATATTTAATTTTCCAATTAAATTAATCTGCTCAGATTAAATATACAAGTGATTTGAAGGTGTTCATATTATCGAAAAAACAACAACATATATTGCAACAGGTAGGCTAAGTGTTTAAGAATTTTAAAATTGCTAAGTGCTAAGAAAACGAATCACGCCCACAAAGTGCCGGAAGCGCAATGATTTCTACGTAATTACGCGCGTGTCCATGTTTTTTGAAAAGTGACTTTGGCACAAAACTGTCACCTTGGAGAGGTTCGTGCTGTGAGTCTGAGAGATGACAGTGACAGGGGAACCCTACCTTCAGCTCGACATGACAGTGCACCGGCGTCCAAGTCATACTGTAGCACTCGGTGTCCGTCTCCTCATTGACCTCCAGTGAGATTTTCACTTCGGCCACCGAGTCCCACGTGTAGCAGAACTCAGTTTTATTCAACCAACACAGGTTTCTGACAAATGGAACCTCAATGTCGGGGTTCCCAACGTTCCCAACGTCTATCTCCACAAAGGTCTTGTCCTCCTCCAAGGTTTGTATTACGAGCGAGTGGGTTCTTCTTTCCCAGATCAGTCCACTAAAAGTCCCCCTGATGATCCAGTTCTTGTTGGGCTGGTCCACCACTTGCCAGTATATGATCCCGATGGTCATTACGAAGAAGACGGCCACCCCGAGACAGGCGATAGCTCCTTTCCAAGTCTCGTTCATCTCCTTCAGTCCTGTATCCCATGTTACCTCAGGGATGGGGCTAGGGTTCCTATTTCGAGCGTGGGGCATGTTGTTTTTGAGATCAGCAAAGAAACACAACAGAAAAAAAGCTACAGAAATCTCTGTGCGTCAAAAGTCTCTGTTGCTTCATCATGTCATTGTCTTTTCACTCAGGTTACAGAGTTAACCAGGCTAACTTCAAATTTCTACAACGGTTTGACTCTTAGTCTTTGCGCAATGGTGCCAACAACAGAGACGGGTCATGAGAAAAAAGCTGCGAGAAAAAAAGGCTCAGCGGAAAAAAACAAAAACAAATCAATATTAAAGGATATTGACTTACCACATATTGATGCAGTTTTTAAAAGAGTTGGATTTGTAATTAGCATTGGCTGCAGTAAGCTCGTGGGCAGCCCCAAGCCGGGTTTGGCAGCACTGCCTACGAATAGCTCCTAAGACTCAGTCTTGCTTGCCCTGCACTTTCTGACGTAACGCCGGCTTGTTTCTTCATGGAAAGGTGGAGAGAGAGAGAGAGAGAGAGAGAGAGAAATAGGGGGACCGTCAAAGTTTGACAGTCTGGAGCAGGCACCAGGGGTGAGGAGGGCATGGACTCGCCGCCGGTAAATCCTCCGTCCTCTCTCTGTGCGTAAAAGACACTTGTTGTCTCGTGCTGTGGTAAACAGAGAACAGCGTCGAATGAACAAGCCGAGGTCGAAGACTTATTCAAATGTCATCGGGTGCTCTTTTAACATTTTAACGCTAGCGAGTTGATTAGAACTTGATTAAAAGCACATACAAGCTGACGGCAATGCGCTGCATTTACTCTTGATGTATATTTTTTTAAGTAAAGGAAACTTGTTTACTATTAAACCCCGTTCATTTTTGTATAGGTCTGTAACTTAGTTATTTAAGATTTACGAGGGTTATCTTAGTGAAGATTAAAATCATACTCATTGGTTTCTTGTCATACTTTTACAGATTGCGGTTTCCTGTTCTTCTGAATGTGGAGAGTTAGTGTTGTGGAATACAGCGGTATCAACAAGCAAAAATATTCTTACATTCATTCAATTAATCTAGTATAAAAAGAGTGGGGTGAGATTGAATCAATTTAAGTAACTATAAAGTACATCTGAAAACTAAACTCCTTCAACATCAGACAAAAACTTTGGATTGATGGAGTCACATTCTACTGGATTTTGATTCTTCAAGAAGAAGAAATTGAAAATGTCTTTGGTTGTTATTGATTTCGCTTAAAGTTAGCTGCAGCACGAGTTTTATGAGACCTAATCATTTTACCTTTTTAAATTCCATTTTCTGCAGTATAGTGGGAATGATTTAGTGATTTTTTATTATTATTTTTTGGTTTGATGAAGTGTTCTTATGTCATTATGAGGACATCCAATTTATATGGTTTTATATGGTTTCTGATTAAACCTATTACATTTTTGGGTCTTGTTTTAGACATTACTATAATAATAGCCTGTTGGTCATTTCTGAATAATTCAGTACTTAAAGAAAACATACATCCACACATTTTAAACCTTTGTACATCCTGTTTTTAAATCAAATTAATTTGTAATTTTGTTTCAATAAAGGAGTTAAAACATTCCTCACAGTGTGTCAAAGGGTCACGTTAAAAACACCTGAGGTGGAGATTGTTTTTGACACTTCACTAATGAATATCAGAGCTTAATCCCAACAAGATACAGCATCAGTTTAACTGACTGGAAACAGAGTTTTTAATACCCACTGCTCATTTGCTTATTTCACTGACACCGTGAGGGATTAACACAGAGAATCAGAAGCAACAGGTACATAATGTGAGTCAGTGCAAATGTGTGTGATGGACCTGACATTTGTGGTTCATTGTCAGTAATCTCTTATGTCATAGATAGATTTAATCTACTGTGTGGCCCAGCTGGTTTGCAGGAATGGTGTTTATGAGCGACTCAAGGCTAGCGGTAGTGTTACCAGCCAAAGGTGGCATCCTGTTTGACAATAAATGCATCTGCAGTGTCAGTGCGCATACATTTGGTAATATGATACAACCTCAACCATTAGCCTTTACAGATGCATGACATTTACTATCCGTTTCTGAAGCCTTAAACATTGAAGTGGCAGATTCATTTATGGCCAAAGAATCATTTAGGTGAGCTATTCATTATCATTTACTGCTGCAACCTAAAAAGAGTCATATTCTGAGAACCATTTACTGAACAATGTTGTTATGTTTGTAGGCTGGGTCACCCTCTGTACTGTGCACCAGATATCCAAGGAGTGTTGACTGACATAATTTGAGGATCGGTTGTCCATGTCCAGCTTATGCATGTCAGTCCTTGATCCTCCTCTTCTTCCTCCTCCTCCTCCTCCCTCGGTCTATCACATATCTTGGGCAGAGACAAGGACACTTGATAAGGCTGTGGGAACCTGTGTGTGCCCTACACCTAACGCCCTACTTTGAGCGTTTTTGAAATCTATGAGAATCCACGTGACTCTGCATCATACGAACGTCATGTGTCACACCAGCAGTGTTCCACTTTTCAAATCAGCTGCTTTGAAGGAGAAAGAGATAGACAAAGATGCTCCGGTTGGTGTGTCAGCTGTTGTCATGTGAGGGTCTGACGTTGTGTGGGCAACGTATGCGCATGAGTCTGAAGTGAAATGATACCATAACCTTCTGACTCTTTGAATGGTGCTTTTTGTTTTGTGTCATATACGCTAGGGGCCAACAGTTGATGAGTACATTTATTGCAAGATCAAAAATGCAAAAATGTGTTCTGATTGGATTGTGCGAGTGTGCTCTAGGAGCCCTGAAATTCAAGTTCAACGTGGGCCTTGTGGCAGTCGGGCTCCTGGGTCAGAGTTCACACTCATGACATCAACAGAACGTTCGGCGAGGAGGGTGTAAATTTACTTACCATCCCGATTGCCCTCGACTCCATCTCCTACTGCTATTAATAGTCCAAGACTGCTGTATGGCATGCACCCGCTCCCTCTGAGAGTGTGAACACAGGACGTGAAGAAAACAGAGGAATCTGACCTGAACTGGCTGTTACTTCTGACCACTCATTTAGTGCTAGAGGCAAAGGGGCAAAGATTTAATTAGGTGTGGGCTGGGGGAGGGGGGTAATGGTTTGTTTGTGTGTCTAGTGGGGTGACAGCTTTACAGACAGACAAGTTCAAAATCACAATTATTGATGACTTCTCTCAGTCAGTTTAGTAGCACGAGTCAGTAAAGTGCTTGGCAAAAAGATTACTTGTACTAGTAATATCTTCCTACAAAATCTGCCACAGTATATCAACTGTAGTACTGCACTAACAAAAATAAACAATGGATTATATTTGTATGCATTTTTCTGCTCAGTATTTGAATATAAACCAGACTGCAGTAATATTATTGGCCTTGGCAGACTCATGTAGTTGACATTGTATTCTAATTCAATCAACCCTTGAATATACGGATGTGTTTATTTGAACATTATGAATGCCTTTAGCATTATAAATTATTATTATTATATTTTATAATATATATATATATATAAATATATAATATATATTTATATTTTATATATATATTATATATATATTTATATTTTTTATATTTTATATATAATAATATAAATATATTATTACATATATATTATTTAGCTTTTTACACTGACTACTGTACCGTTATTGGGGTTTTTACAGTGGCAAGTGATTTTTAAAATGTTTAACTATTTTGTTGTTTTGCTCATAATATAACATGCCACACTACTAGCCTATAATAATAATAATAATAATCCGTTTTTAAAACATATACCCTTCCTAATTCAACAAGCGGGATTTGGGGACTTGGCAGTATCCTACCCAGAGTCGGCGGTCCTGCCACTGCACCACTCTAGCCATTTATACCTACAGCTGTTCATAGCCATTCTTGACATAGAGAACATTATCAGTATTTACCTTACTTTAAACAAAAACTTTCAAAAAGATTTCAACTCAAATGTTTGCTCTTTGTGCTGCTACATTCCTAGTGTTCAAATGCATGATTTCTTCATCGTCAGGTATGAGCTGGGTATAGTTGAATAAATCATGCAGGGGTTTTTCTTTAGCTCTGCTCACGCTGCATGCAATGACATGCAGAAAGACCAATGACATTGTTATTTACACAGCAATCAATATATTGGCTAATTGTTGTGGTTACTGAGTGCTGATACATAACAAGCCACCGATGTCAACAAACTTCCATCCAGTAAACAACTGCTAGATTATCAACAGGATGAGGATGAAACTATTGCAGCTGGTGCCAAAAATGATAATTAGCTACTCCAACACCATTTTGCCTGGTCTGTAAATGTGGTGCATTACACGCATAACAAACTGTAGTCCACGCCCACAGAATGAGCTGTGCCTGTGGCAGAAGTATTCGACACACCCACTGTTGGCTCGAGTTTGGTCTCGAGGTCCTCAGCTCAACTTGGATTGGACTTCCGTTCACATCCTTGATTTTCACTTGAGCGTGCCAAGGTTATACTGCTGCCGGTGACACAACCTGAAGGTATTGTAAATATTAAATATGACTACTGAATTTTGTCAAACATTACTTTGGAAAAACTTGATCACTTTTCATCACTTTGGCATCATGGTTTTCATCTGTGCTGCCTCCAGAAAAGCACTTAAATCCATGAACTGTTTGTTAAACCTGGCAAACTTGACAGGCTTTACGATCAACTCAGACGTGCACTCCTCTGACGGCCTGTGACTAAGTTGGAGTCGGTAGATTCCATGCGGTCTCAGTGCGGGACAACCCTGCTGTAGTCCAAACTGTTACCCTCAGTTCACCTCTGCTGTTTGAGCATTTGCCTCTTCTTCCATACTTTCTTAATTTCTGTATTGTCACATGAACAGCCACTTTCCACTAGCCCAAGTCTGAACCTTCATTCCAGCTCCCCTCAAGTCTCCCTCTCTCTCATTTGACCACCAGCACAAACACTGCAGCTCCTGCTGCAGCAGTGTGCGTTTATTCCCATTTGTCCCATGAACAATGACCAAAAATGAAAAAATACATTTTTGTATTTTTTTGTGTACATGTATATGTTTATCTACTAAACTACACGCCCATAGCTGTCAAGTACTATAAAAATGTTCTTGTTTCTGACAGGACTTTGCAAAACAGAGACCAACAGACATTTCAAAACACCATAACTCATTAACCTGGGCTTGTACTTTTACAAGTAATATTAAATAATGTAATTGATTTGTTTGTTTTTACATCTGATTTTAAATGTTTGTATTAACAAACAGGTTTAAATAGCATCTATAAATGGCAGAGTTGGACAACAGTGTGAGACTGAACCTTTGGCTCAAGGTTGCATTGGTTCATGTTGCCTGTCCCCTCGACACCCCCTGGATTTGGCGTAGTCTGCAGTAGCTGGAGCCTTGCTTAACACTGGCACCCTGACTGAAGTAATGAGTACGGCTACTGCTGCAGTATCTATACAGAGAGTCCTATGACCTTGTCCAAGGAGTAGATAATGGGTTATTAAACATTTAGAAATAAGTTTACCACTTAGTGAGGAGAGCTCATTTGGTTATAACCAAAGTGAAAAGATACAAAAGCAGACATATCTAGAGTCAAAGAAACTCATTCAATAAAAATTAAATTAATTAAATTTTTTTTCAGTGTGGCTGGTGGAGCTGAAACCAATCCCAGCCGTCAGCTGGCAAGGGCAGGGTCCACCCTGGATAGTTGGTTAGCCATCATATACTCACATTCATACCATTGATCTTGTGTCCAATTAATCCCCCTCCCCTCCCCATCCTCTGCCTGTTTGTGGACTGCAGGAATAAGCTGGGGTACCCGGAGAAAACCCACTCCGACATGGAGAGAACATGCATGGGTGATAATGTATGGGTGATAATAATAACAACCAGTCAGATACAGACAGCAATGGTCCAGTTCAAGCAAAGACCCTCCACAGGAAAAAAAAGCTTCTTTCACCTACTGCAAGTTTATGAACCCAGAAATGTTTTAACTGCTAAGAAGACCGTGCACTAACCACAGAAGAAGCAAAAGCATGTCTGCACGCATTTTCTGTCAATCCTAATTGTGCGGATGGCGCCAAGTGAGGTTAAGGGACGGGAGCGACAGCTGAAACCAGTAGCGCTATATGCTACAAAACAGAAGTACAGAAGAAACTCCAGTAGAAACTGGTAGACTGATGACTTTTACGTTAGACAAATGTCCTGCATCCAATTAGCAACAGGCCATTGTCATGAGGTTACGATATTAAACCAAGAAAAAGCATATACAGTATACAAAGAAGTTTATCTGCAAAATGTCGAGGATCCCAGTCCTTGCTAGCAGTTTAAGAGGAAGACAAAAGCTAAAGCACGAGCTAGCCCAGAAGATACAGTGACCTGTACTATATTCACGAAGTCTATTTTTTGGTGCCCTCTAGCTGTAGGGGCTGCAGAATTAACGTTAGCCTGTGTTAGGTGTTGGTGAGTCAAAATAAGAACGAGTAAAATAAGAACATTCCCAGTTAAAGAGATTAAAATACTCTAGCAATACATTAAAAATGATTTCTAATTAAGGATTCCTGTAAGGAAATTGTAAAGTAGATTATTAACACTTTAAAGAAAGTGCTAAATAACGTAGATTATGTCAGGCGTGTCATTGGCCCACTGTCATGAACATGCCAAGCAGGTGTTTTGATATTTCGTTAACAATCGTTAATCCACCTCTGTAAGAAAACGTCCATGGCAGTAATAGTAGACAGGAGTAACCTGCAGCACATGTTTACCATACCAGAATTACATCAACACATTTTTTTTGCCTGAATAAATAATGTTTTACCATAAAAGAGAATATATGTTTATTATAAATGAGTACAAACATTTGTTGAAACAGATTTAGTTTTAAATGACAACTATTTTTTGCTAGTGTTATGAAGAAAAAGCTTTATCAAACTTGTTTATGATATTACAACTGTTTACTTAACACCACCTCAGCGTCAACAATCTCAGTAGAGATAATATGTTATAAATATGCGTAATACATTCAGTAAAAGTGAAGTTATCTTCCAATATGTTACATGTTTCTTAATGTGTATTTGTAATGTCAAAGACCATATAGTTTATAATATTAAAATATCATAATTACAGGCAAGCACTCATTCCAGTTTATGCTTCAAAACAAACCATGTTTTTTAGCCTTTTAACTATCAGATTGCTCAGGTGTAAAGCAACAAACAGATGATAACTGCTTAGCAAATATTCACTTTTATTCCAGGAATGACAGCAGAGACACAGGCCATTGTGATATTGTATTACTAATAACCACACCAAGTGGTCAGCATTATGACATTAATATAAAATTAATAATTAAATGAAAAAAACCCTCCCCTTCACACACAAACACACACACACCGTACACACACACATACACACACTGATGGAAACTTCCCTCTCTAAGGCATAGTGTAAGTTGTCAGTGTGGTGTCTCCTGCCAGGTCTGGACCAGCTGTGCCAGGGACTTATGTTCCACTCAGGGGACAACCAGCCTTTCTCCCCTCTAAGGAAGGAACATTTTAGTGGGAGTGGGTTCAACTACTCGGCCACAGAGTATAAATAAAAAAAAATGGGACAAGGCCGCCCTCTGCTGTCGTTTCATCCCATGTGTTTATTGTACTCGGTGGAATCTATCAGGACAAAAACAAGAACAGTAGTATTTTGGAAACATTAACAACATTTTACAGATATCTTATAGTTGTACAGTAACCTGTACTACAATGTAACGAATTTTAGTATATTTTAATATACTGAGAACTTTTATAAATAGTATGGAATTGTATAAAAGGGTCACTATGTTTGGAGAGGAGGGATATAATTTAAAAAATCTCAAAGTAAAAAAGAGCAAAAATCTGCTTTAATCTCTAGAGAGACTGGCAAAGAACAATCAGAGAAGGCCAAAGTGAATTTGCTGGTTGGCTTAAAAAAAGCCCTATTTTTTATTTTTATTTGTTTTTTAATCTGCCTTACAAAATACCTTACAAAAATGTCTGCTCTCTATAAAATAACACACTTTCCTGAATTGAAAATTCTGGTGATTGGAAATTTGGACCACAACTGACCTATCAAGGGCGCAACGAATTAGAATTGCGCATGCGCTCAGTGATTGCCCCGGAAGCAAATTCACACACGTGTTCCGTTTGACAACCTTGAACAGACTTCAAAACAAATAGCAACACTCTACGCTTTTCAACAAACACTACAATGCCAGTGACGCGAATATTGTAAGTGTCTTTGCATATATTTATATTGTAAATAGTTGTATGTAACGTTTAGACACCGGAACCTGTCACCTGTGGGACACTTCCTGGCAGTTTAGTTAGCTAACAAAAAACATAGCCAACGCTAGCACCTCGTAGTTACTGTCAAATACGTGCTATTTTATTATTACATCCTGACTGCTCTCTGTTTTCTTTCGCTTACTGTCTGATGTATGATGAAAACTGTGCTTATAATCTGCTCTCTGCGTTGTGTAATACCAAAATTTGTCCTACTACGTTGCGGGTTACCTTATTTTGCAAGATCCCCTGCCATTATTATCAATTAAATGATTCATTTAGAGATATTTGCACGAGTGGACGTAATTAATTTGTGGTTAACTTTTACTTAGTGCTGTTGCGACTAGTTCTTATTTAAATTTTATTTTAAAACGTTGTACTTTAATCAAATACATGTTCTTTTTTATGACCGGGAACCAAATATCTGGTTTATATACCAATATTATAACTAAATCAAGAGAGTAATTTAACGTATGGGTCCAATAACTGTATTATTGATAAATACGCCATGTTCGTTTTCATTTCAAAATATAGACCCAATCCAGTGTACAGTGACACTCAGCATCTCCATGTTTCAAACATTAGAGCTCCAGCAGTACATTTTGAACCATCAACATTGTCACTTACTTACCTTTGCAGCTCTGGTAAAGTGATCTAACAGTGATGAGTTTATTGTTGACAGCAATGTATTTAACCACCTTCTCTGTTAATTCTGTCCTTCTCACATTTATTATTTTCATGTCAGTTACCCTCTCTACCAGTTGGGCAACCCTCAGCTGAGGATCTTCCGACCCAAATGGTTCCTGACCCTGGTTCGGCCAGGGAAAGCGCAGCCACCTGATGTTGCACAGTTTCGTGTCCCAATGGAGTAAGTCTTAAGTACTCTTATTTTTAATTAAAAAAAATCTTTATTTAAGTATGCATTGAAAATAAGCTGTCTTATTTAGACAAGTTTTATATATATATTTATATAAAATTCGGCATCCGTCATTAGCGTTAACGCCAAGCGTTTTATGTAGCCTATTATACAAAAAACAGTATGTTTTTTGGCGTAAAGCAATTATCCCACCAAAACTGTCTTTATTGGCTTCATGGCCACAAGGGGGTGTTACAGTCCCACAAAATATCTGAGGCGTTGAGACTCGGTACGAAGAATCCATCCTGTACCAGCCTTTAAAGTTCCTTTAATGGGCTCAATTACACAGACGAAATGTGAAAAGCTGTGAAGTTCTTCAAAAACCGATTTTGTTATAAGATTATTTTCAGGCTGTGAAACATTTGTTACTAACAGGGGGGCAATGTACACATAAATTGTAGCATTTACTTTGAATAATCGTGCATACATGTGTGTGAGGATACAAATCTTTCTCAATCAGTTACACACACACTTAAGACAGTGTTATATATGTATTCATGGAACACAATGGGGGTTTCTAAACTGTTGGTACTCTGTAGCGATTGACTGATTCTGACTGGTGGACCATAGATGACTTCAGTTTTCAATGGTCCTCAGGTGCTGAGAGGCCCCTTTGGCCACGCTGGGAGGGGAAAAAAATGAAGTTTAAGGCTGTAAAGGCAAATCATCTCGTGTCTCTGGTGGAGTTTACACCATAATCTGTTCTTACAGGTGCCTGGCCTCCCACTAGGATTTTTGCCTCTTCTCTGCCAAACTCCTAGGGTGCTTATGTAATTGTGTACGAGTATTTGTGTAAGTGTGTCTCTGTGTATGTATGCGCAAAAGTGGGCAAGTGCAGGGTGCGTGTGTGTTTATAAGGGTGTGTAAGGTTTTTTCAGCCTTTGATGCCTGGGAGAGGTACAAGGCTGATTGATATGCTGCCGGGGCCAGTCTTAACACTGTTGCGTTTTTCTGTTTCAAATGAACACTCTAGTAAATGAACCCTAAGACAGTTACTTACATCATTATCACTCCCACTCACCCTAGCTAATGGATGACTCTGAATCATTGCAACAGTGAAAGCAGCAGTAGTAGTTGTGACTCTGGAGAGTAGGTGTTGCTAGTGTGGGTAAGTTGTACTACAGAGCAGCTGTTCATGAGAAGTGCCCATGTTGTTGTTCATTTTTTCTGCTTGTTTACTTTCTCACGTTTGCACTTGACTTTCCCTTCTTCGTCTTCTTTTATCTCGTGCTTTTTATTAAAAACTTTTTGGCACAATTTCTTTATGGCCTGTTGTTTAAGACACCTGGATTGCATTCTCCCATAATTCACTTTCTGCCTGCTGGAGGGAAGTATTTATTTGTCATCTGATTGTTCTCAAACCTTTTGTGCTATGTTAGAATTTCCTCTCTGCTCTAAAAGGGCCATCATCAAGTTTCTAGGTTTACACCCACACACACACCTCTTTTGCCTCACCTGGCATGGCTGCAGGCCAATGCTCTCTTTCTCTGGTTCTTTCACAGACACACACACACACAAACAAACAAATGCTGTTGAGTATGTATTTAACTATCCTGGTGAATTTCAGGCTTCTCTCCTAGTTGATACAGAATAACCAACCATGACGATGTTTTTTGATCAACCTTGTGCAAATGTATCTCACTGTTCTCTACTGCCACATAAATGCCCTTGTTCTTGACAGTAATTAGCATATAATTAGCAAGTAGCATATTACCTGTGCAATTATCATCATGGAGACTGCTTTCCTTCTGCTTCTGAAACATGGAAAGCTGGTTTACATGATAGCTAGCCTTTGGGTTTATGATGTTGGAAATGGTTTAGGAGGCTGGTCGAGGAGTTCACTGTCCAGGATCTACTGTTCTGTCTGTCTTTGACGATGAGCCTGTCTTTGATCTATCACTTGTCCATTGTCTAACCGAATTCTGAACAATATATGTAATCCTTCACACGCTGCTCCTATACTCTCAGCTGCTCAACTGTCTCTTCCCTCCCAAAGTCTCAGGTGTCTCAATGTTTTTTGTTTTTTTTAAACAAAGTCTGCTTTTATTATCTTGATACTTAGTGTTGGGCAACTTCTGTGCACGTATTGTCCGTGTATATGGGAGGGTTAAAATGAGTGAGTGTGCGTTATCTAAACTCAAACCTAACAGTGGAGCAGGCAGACAATGAGGAGCGGCTTTCTTTTGCCTTTCATGTCGGCAGAAAACAACTCTCCTGTTTCATTCTCACCACTAAGCTGCTCTGACTCAATGTACTTTGATGTTGTGTGTGCATATTGGCTGTTTTGTCCTTTTAGATGTTGTGTTGACAAAGGCTACGCACGAAATTACGCCTAAGAGGCTTACGAGAATGTTCTGCATGTCCACGAGACATTTCAATTGGGTAATGTTCTAACTGTACTGAAACCTCAGTTAATCAGCGAGTGGTTCACTGTTTTTTTTGTGCCACATGCAGAATGAAAACCTGTGCCATGGCAGATCTCACTTTTATGTACATGCATGGTTTTTGACATTGAATATACACTTCATCAAGTAGACTGCTGAGTGCAAACTACAAACACAAGTAATTAAAAAAAAAAGTGTATATTTTGATATTTATAATATATAAAGTCACTTTGAATAAAAGCGTCTGCTAAATGTATTGTAATCTAATATACGTATATTATATGTATATTTAATATATAAATATATTGATGATGAAAAATTGTATTTTTTCTATAATGCTCCATTCTTAGACAACTGTACTACCAGCTGAGGCACAGCCACCCTCCAATTTTGTTTTGTATCACTTGCGGTTGGAAACCATTGAGTGGGAACCTACACAGGTCACCCTTTATGTACAGAAGAGCCATTCACCTGGCAGATGTTCTTTCAGCACTGTCAGCACATTAACAGACAAGTCAGTGAGTCGGTGGAGGTCATTCACTGTCCTTATTGTCAAACGCCCTCAAAGCTTCCTCTGTCCTTTCTTGCACATTTCTAACGGTGCCCTTTCACCTAATTTTCTGCCGCTCTGTCGGAGCACAGGTGTGAAGAGCCTACACTAAACTACTGGAACTGATACTTTGGAACAGAACATGGGGGGTGAGTTTTTAGGTTCTTTGGAGAGAAGGGGTTTACAGTCGGCAGCTTACCAAGGTCTGTGGATTAATCCGCAGAATGACAAATCAACGCAGTGGTCCACAGGCATGCACACAATCAGTGAATATGCACTATGCTTAATAACAGCGTCTCATTTACCCTGTTCATTCATCGGTGGTTGTATCCCTTTAGAGACCTGAGACTGGAGATCAAGTGCTGTTTTAGAACACCTGATATCAGGTTTGGGTGTTATAACTCCCTTTACACCTCTTCATACGTAATACTGAACAATATAACATTTAGGACTGTTTTCTAACAATGATGCCAGCATGCCTCCTGCCAAACCTGCTCAGCAACAACAAACCATAGCTGAAACTAGTGCATCGTTTGCGTCATATGATGCCCTTCTTGGTTTTGTGTTTAGACTCCTTTCATCCTCCTGGGCGAGGAATCTTTGTACCATGTGTGTTTGCGTATAAATATATACTAGTTGCTGAGGAACAATTCCTTTTGCTTCAGCAGTTGCTGGAGACAGATTTTCTTTCTTCCTCAGAGGCAGAAGTGTAAAAGGTTAGCTTCCAGAGTCAGTCGGGGGTTTAAACCAGGATGATGAGATGCTGCCTCTATTACTGTGTTGGTGCCACACCCTTTGTCAAAGTTTAATGCTATTTATGCACACAATGAACTTGACATTTCCCTCACAGCCTGCAGCATAGGGCTTCTTCTCAATTAAAACTCCGGTTTGTAGCAGAGATCAGTCATGTATTGACTTGGAATAGCCAGAGAGAAAACAGTTCTCTACTTTTACTTCTGTAAATGTAGTGCACACTATTTATACTATATGTGTGGATGTATTTTTTTACAGCTACTGCCACAGGGGGACCTGTCCCATTGAAAAAGGTCAAATATTCTTTGGTGTCCATTTCTGTTGCTGATAGGGATTTGGTTTGTAAAAAAAATAAACAAATAAATAAACAGATGGAAAAAAAACACTTGCCCTTACATGTAGCCAGCCAATTGTTGCTAATGACTAAAGTTGACATTGGTGTTCTTTTTTTTTTGTTATCCAGTGTATTATCAGCTCTTTAAAAAGATTTTACAGAGACATTGTACTACCTGATTGGTATTTTCTTCTGCAAGAAAACTGTCTACAGTCAATCCAGTCCAGTTTTTGTTATATTTATTAATTGGTCTGTGCCTTTCTCTCACACTTACACCAACTAGAGTTTTTCAATTATATTTATCCATTTAGTTGATGCTTTTATCCAAAACGACTTACAACAGGTGGAGTATTGATAAAGTCACAAGCTACTTCTGTTTTATAAAAAGCATAAAACACTTTTCCCGAAACCTAGAATAAAAGGGCTTAAAATGTATTTATTTATTTATTATTGCTACAAACAAGTGATACTCAAAAATGTATTTGGTCAAGGGTAATCATCAATTATTCAACTAATTGTTGAAGCTCTGCAGCAGTAAATAGATGATTTGAGCAGTAAAATCAGGAGGGATTTATAAAATGTTTCATTAATCAGGATCAGTGTTTCCTCTGTTAATGATCCAGAGGAGACTCTGCAGTCCCTAAGCCACTTTCCCCCTCTTTCAGTTGTAGTCCTATTGCTTTCTAGGAAACCCCTTCCTCTCAGCGCAATCACTCTCTTTCTTCCTGCCTTGATCTCGGTTTCACTCCGCTACACTCCATTGCCCACTGGCGCACATGGAACAGAAGAAAGGTTAAAAGGGTAGTGGCTGCAAATGGTGCAGGAAAGCTCATCTTGATGCCTTGTTTTGGGAAACACGTCTCTGTCCTTGGTTAAAGGAAAATACTGAGATAAAAAAGCAACATCAAAAATGTTTGTTAATGGCTTACTTTCACCCATCGTGGAACAGCACTGAGATTTAGCGACCAAAGTCAACCCTTGACATATTTTATTCTGTCAAGGCACTCACCTGAAGTGGGCATTTGCCACCACCTCATGTCACCGTAGAATCACCAAGAAACGATATTGGTTTGTGTTGATAAGAATTCAAATGTGGAAACAGTTAACTGGGTATAGTTACTGGTAGTTTACCTCTCTGGGTAAACACTGACGGCCTAGTAGGTCAAACTGAAGTGCTGCGGGTGAACCTCACTGTCAACTTTGCCAAATTTAGCCCACTTAAGAGCGAGAGTCAGGTGTTTGTTTAGCATGGAGTAGTACATCACAAAGAGTCTTTGTGGTAATTTATGGGATTTTACTATGTAAATGTTTGCCTTTACGTCTGCACCTAAGCTCTGTGTATTTTGCTGTTTTCACTACAAAAAGCAAAAAGTCAGTATCACTGGGTTCTGTCAAAAACAGAGGGTGATACAACATATTATATCTGAGGGATTCATGTCAGACCACAATGTCGCTATTAAGCACTTTGTCAGACGCATTTGGGAAGTGCTTTCTACCAAGCTAATCCAATTGGCTAGATTGATCAGCAGTTAAAAGCCTTTCTTCCTCTGGTCAGAGCAATCTGTTCCAAATGCTGCCGTGTGGGCTAACTTGGGCCGGACTGGCCCACCGGATCAGTCGGTGCCAGGCACACTTCCTGTGTAGGATTTCACCAGCTGCGATCAATACATCTAGACAGCTAATTGGATAAACACTGACGCTCCTATTTTTCTTCTCTCCACTTTATGGTTCAGAGAATAAAAGCGGAATATGGGTTTGTAGGGGAGTGTCCTGTCAGGTACTCTAGCCGATATCGCTGCATTGTTCATGAGAATGTAGAGTTTTTATGTTGGTGTAAGTTACATGTGTGCCGTGTCGTATTCCTGATCCTGTGATCCATCATGTGTGCCTGCAAGTGTTAGACTGAACTGCATCCTCTATTGTCACCTCACGCATTCAAACCACGCCTTATCTCACAAACCCTGATGTTGGATGGCTTGCATAATCCTCATTCTTCTCTCGCCTCTTTCCTCCCTCTCAGGTATTTATTTCTACTCTCTTTCTTAATGTGTTTCCACAGAATGACCAAATATGACATAAAGAACTACCTGGAGAAGATTTATAATATCCCTGTGGCAGTAGTCCGCACCAGGATACAGTTTGGTGAGTGTCTTTGTGCACAAGCATGGGGAGAGGGGCATGACATAGGGCTTTTTTCCCTGAGTAAAATTATAAAGATGAGAGTATATCAAGTCAAGTAGGTTTTCAAGTACATGTTTTATACTTTGGAGTTTGACACGTGTAATACACATTTCTTAATATACTAACAATGTATATGTATTGGTAACATGTATTCTAAAAATTTTGAATTTTACATATTTCCAACTGAAATTTAAGGGTGATTAAAGAAGGGTGTGCTATCTTAGTATATAAAGATTAGGCAATAATTCAGTGTTAGAGGTTTTCACTGGTATTTCTATTCACATAATGTTCAACCACCTGTTCGAACACCCTATCATCAAAGTAAACTAATATATATATATATATATATATATATATATATATGTGTGTGTGTGTGTGTG